TTGCCCTGAACATACCACCCAGAGTAGAAAACTCTCCTACTCTTGAGTGACTTGTCTGCACCTCCTTGCCTGGCATCCAACAGTCCCTCGTTTGGGGTCATTACTTGGTCTCTACCAAACTAAAACAATATGACAAGAGGGGGGAAATGACTATGTTTGAGGCGCATAGAAAGCTAGTTTGAGAACCTCTTGGAGGGTGTTACGTTCCAGGCAAGAACTTAATGAGGATTTGAGTTGAGTTGAGAGGAACTACTAGAAGCATCAGAGGTGAAGAGTATGGTGTAGGAGAAACTATGTACTGACATATATATCCATGTACCAAAAAGTGAAAAGTTAAAAATGGGAAATATTTGTTAATCATTTATGGCTGCTCTATTGAAATCCATCACTCAATGAAATATGGGCCATATGCCCTTTAGCTTTACATATTGCTTGCTATGTTGGGAGCTGTGAACCCCTCAGATCCTGAATTTCTTGTAAACAACTTGTAATGTTTGCAGCTGCTCTGAGCACGAGACCCTCAGGAGTTCCTGATGGCAGGACAGTGGTTTCTGGTGCGTTTGGCTGGGGCATGGCTATCAGTTAAGGATCCTATATAAGCTGCCCCTGGACACAATAAAAGGGGGCATTCTGGCATCAAGGATGTCCTGTGTCTCTGTGAGTCTTTGTGAGTTTCAATCTCCAGCCCCTTGCCCGGTTCACAGACTGTATGGTAATGCAGAGAGTGCAGACAGACGTGGTACACTACATTGCTGTCTCAGTAACACACAGCCAACGCTCAACACATTAGCCCAACAACCAAAAAAACAAACAGGAAATACACATGGATACAATGCCTAGCAGTGCTGTTAGGATAAAAGGACAACACTTCTTGTTTCCCGTTGGGAGCTTCACTACGATGAGAAACAAAGTCTCACAGTATGAATCCATGAGAGTGGCCCTTGAACCAATACTTGGACACACAGTTCATCACAGGGAGGGACACATTCACAGGGGAGATTAAAAGAAGGCAGAGAGATGATAAACATTTTCCCTCATGTATATATTTTTATTTTACGTAATATTAATCATATAATAAGAAGCAGTTTAAACCACCACTCGTCAGCTGTATGCTGGTGTATTGTTGGTGCTCCAACAATACCTGGGTATATTAACTGTGGACCCCGGCCAGCGTCATCCAAGTACAGGTTTCTCCCTAGTCTGATCTTTCCCGCTTCTTCTCTGCTAGCCGTTCCTGATTTCCACGGTTCCACCATTAGCTCAGCTCCTGAGACTAAAGGAGCCCAGTCCTGCTCTGCTTTTCTGTGTCCCACCGTGGCGTGGCGGTATTCTCTGTGCCCCTCCCCCGTGCTCCGTGTGCTCCTTCATGTCCCCTGCCCTGCATATAGGGCTGAGAACTGATCTTCAGGTCTGCATGCCTTGCCTGTGGTTACTGCCTCTTCTCTCCCCACCATGAATGACAGTCACAGTTGGCCACAGACATCGCTCCCTAAAGCACAGATATTCTTTTTCAGTTGTAAGTGTTTGAGATTAGGATCTGCCTTTTGCACAGTTTGCAACCCCTCCCCCTCCCAACGTTAGCAAAGCTCCCGAAAGGGACATTCAAAAATACCCATTTGGTGAGTACTGTTTGTCAAGCACATCTGGGTGGCCAGGACGGCAGCAATAGCTCCAGTGTGTTCTCATTCTAGCAAAGACGCAAGGGAAATTAAACGTGGGGTTCCTGTAGAAAATGAACAGGGTTATCTGTCAGATGGCAACAGAGAAGGGAAAAAAAATCTCCATAGAAGGAGTAGAAGGGAGAGAAGAAAGACGGGAGGGAAGGGGGGAAAAAGGGAAGGAAAACCACATAAACTTAAAGTCAGAGAGGAACCATGTGCCCAGGCAGAGGGACAAGACAACTGAAGACCTGGAGAATAGTGGGAAAACCTTGGGAGATTTAATGGATTAAGTAAAGCTGAGATGGCCTAAGCAAAGGGGTCCAGGCCCAGGCTTGGCATAGTCTGGGGCTGTGTCACAAGGATCAAAGGGTTGGAACTATAGATCAATGGGAAGCTGAAGGAGCTAGAGAAATGGTTGAAAATGGATTTAAAATTTTACAAGTTCATCTTAGCTTCTTTGTAGAAAACTGATGACTTGGGGGACTTTAAAAGGAGACCAAGTAGCAGATTATTAAACAATAGCCCAGGTAAGATTATGCCATTGTAGGAAAGGGTAATGACTGTACAGCAGAGGTGTCATGGAAACTGAGTCTGCATCCACTCTGCCTCCAGAGCAAGAGGAGGAATTGGAGAGGGGGGAGGAGCAGGGAAGGGAAGGAAGGAGGAGGAGACTAGGGAAACAGGGAGGGGAGGAGGGAGAAGGTAGGGGAAAAGAGGGAAGAGTGAAAAAAGATGGGGAGGACATTCATATTATTCGTCAAATTAATAGGATTTGGTGGATTCACATTAGGGATGATAAGGAATCCATGATTTCTGGTCAAACTGGCTTTTTGTTGTTGTTGTCGTGGGGGAGATTGGCTGGAGGAAGTTCTGCTAGGGTGAGACAGAGCTCCAGTTTAGTTGCAAGCACGCTGGAGAAGCATTCTGAGGCGTCAGACAGCTGTTTGTAGACCAAGACCGGGCTTAAGGTCCAGGCTGGAGGCTTGAACTGAATACTGGTGATATTAGGTTTCGTTTAAAGGCAGGACAAGGATGTGTGTGTGTGTGGGGGGGGGGGGGGATAAATGCTCCTGAGTTAAAATAAACCCTGGGACTTTCAGTCTTTGTCTTGGAAGAAAAGGAGCCAGCAAAGGACTGTGACACTGTGGAGAGAGAGCATTGATTTTGGACTTTGTAAAGCAATGTCAAGCACCTTTTATTGCTCAGGGGACAGGCTTCGATGAGACTTACCCTCTGAGCGCAGCAACCACCATCTTGGGAAATTCAAACTGGCCAACTTGCAAAACAATTATCCCAGCTGGACTTGTTGACTCTTTAAACAGGCACCGGGGAGGGGGGCGTGTCCTAGATGCTCACCTGAGTAAGCAGGGGCTCCTTACCACCTGGTATAAGAAACTCTGCTTGCTTTAATTGCACTTGGTCTGGAGGAGGGGCTGGGTGAGAGGAGCCTGGGAAGACTGCGGATGGGGCTCCACTAGGGATGGAACTGCATCTAGGCCTAGAGAGAACCCCTCATTTCTGCTGCGGTCCAGCTCTTGGTGGGTACCACTCCAGGCTGTATTCTTGGTGCTGTAGGAAAGCAGTCTGCGCCATCAGGAGCAACCCGGTAACGTGGTCTTCTCCAGGTTCCTGCCCAGTTTGAGTTCCTGTTTTGGTTTCCTGCAATGGACTATGATTCAGAATATGTAAGCTAAATAAATCCTTCCCTCCCCAGGTTGCTTTTGATCATGGTGTTCTGTCACAGCAGTGGGCGTCCTAACCAAGACAATTCTCCAGGGTAACCTTTGGAACCGTACCTGGCTTTGTCACTGGGACATTAGAAGAAGGGGTAAACATTGCTTATGTCTCCCACCGGGAGGGATTTTTAGCAAGAGGTCTGTTTTCAAAGCTTAGGAAAGGAAGGACGGGTGTCATAGCGGGTTGCTTAATACCTCTGGAAACGTAGTAAATTGTAATCAGAATGGTAGAAGCCAGGTTCTGCCCACTAGGCAGCTATCATCTCAGACCAGAGTTTAACCCCTCCATCAGTGCCTGTGGGTGTCAGGAGGTACCTGCTCTTTTTTTCTCAGTTCTCCACCTGGCTAAGGAGCCAGTCCCATGAGTGTGTGTAGCCTGACTCAACTATCACTGTCTTTTAACCGGAGTCAAGTGTCCCCAAATATTCAGACTCTGTAGAACGTTTGTTTTCTACCACCTGGCCCATCTTTTACTGGATGCTTCTTCAGTCTTGCAGGTTGTCGGTGGTGTTGCGGGGACCGGATACGTCTGCTGCCTAAAAGGATCCAACTCAGTGAACAGCGACAACGCGGGCTGTGCGTGGGTTTAAGTGGCAGGCACACTCTTCTTTTTTCAATCGTCTTTTCACGCAGCAGGGGCAAGGAGGCCCGCGTCTCTCCTCCCAACAGCTGTCTGCACTTGCTGCTTCCTCCAGCACGAAACCGGGCTCACGTGGCGTGTGCTCAGCCGAGGACCATCACCTGGCTCAGGTGTGCTGTGTCTTAGGCCTCCAGTAGCGCTTTGGAGACTCGGTATGAGCTTGTTTCCTGCTCTGTCTACATTTCTGGTGGCGGGTGTGTCCTGGGGCAACGGAACAGCTCCCTGTACATAGGGACGGCTTATGAAGAAGTGAAGAGGGGGTGAGGGGGAGGAGATTGCTTAGTGAGGCAAGTCACAGAATTTCCTTAGCCAGCCTGAGTTTGGGGACAGGCTATTGCCTGGCTTGCTCATGCATACAGACCCTACTTAAGAGGAAGTGTGGAGAGGAAGGAAGCCAACACAAGAGGGTGCAGGCCTGGGAGCTTTGAAGAGACTAGTCATAATATGCGTTTGTCACCAAAATGCTCCCTAGGCTCCTCGGGGTATATGTAGGGGCAGTTTTTAGTTCGTGACAACTGTTTAATTTCTCTCGCTTACAGGGCACTTCATTGCCAAAGGAAATTCTGGAGGTTTCGCCACAGTCCTAGTCCCCAAATTGGGGGGACCGCTATTGGTCACAGAGGATAGCCATGGAGGTCAGTCACTGCATAAAGTACCTCAAGGCTGGCCATCGAGCCCTGGTCAACTTTGAAAAGGGAAAGTCCTGCCCCGTTTGTGTCCTTCTCAGGGCCATTCTTGCTAAGCCCCAGAAACCTAAAGCCATCCGAATGCTCTGAGGGTTGCCAGAACCTGGCCAGGATGTGAGTCCCGGTAACCTAGGTCCCCTAGCGCCCCCTACAGCTGCGGCGGGGTGGGGGTGGGGATCTGGTTGGGGAGAGCGAGCTGAGGCTGTGAGCCACAGCACCACACCCAAGACCCCACCCAGATCACAGGAGCCCCCAGGCCACAGAAACGGGGCGTGGGCCAGGGCCTGAGGCATCCCTGGCCACCACAATTGCTCCGCCTGTGGCCACCAGTTCCCCTCCCCTGGCGTCCCTCTCTCCGCCCCTGTCGCCTGCCAGTACCGGACACGCTGCTGCACTTCATCTCTTGGGGCGCTCTTCGCCTTGGCCAACCGTCGCATCCTGCGCAACTCTGGTCAGTGGCCGTTTGGTGTTGAATGTTCCCCACCAAGAGTGCATGGCTGCGGAACCGAGGCGCAGACCCGGGCCCCGAGGGGTCGCCCTCTGGGAAGCCGTGATGCTGTTGTACCTGGGAGTGCCTTCGGGGTACCCCTACAACCTGGACCCAGAGAGCGCGCTGCTGTACCAGGGCCCCTCCGGTACTCTGTTTGGCTACTCGGTCGTGCTACACAGCCACGGGGAAAAGCGCTGGTGAGTGCGCCCTCCCCAAGAGGCATGTGGCAGCGTCTCCGCCTCTGGGATTCCTTGTTTGAATCAAACTTTCCGCCCTCCTGGGAGATCAGAGGAAAGCCTGGCTCCAGCCAGTTGGCTCACTGGAGAGCCTTGGGACTAACTTATCTTAGGATAGCAGCCCTCAGGGTGCTCCGGGTACCTGGTCCCGGGAGTCTTTGAGTTCTGGGAGATGGTGATGGGCAGAGGACGTGGGCGCCACCTCCACAGCTGTGGCAACTTGGGGTAGGGTGGGTGGTCAGGCTGGCTCACATCTGAGCGAACTAGCATGTTTCTCGCTTTAGGCTCATTGCAGGGGCACCCACTGCCAGCTGGCCCTCCAATGCCTCAGTGGTCAATCCTGGGGCGATTTACAGATGCAGGATCGGAAAGAATCCAGGCCAGACCTGCGAGCAGCTCCAGCTGGGTGAGTTGGGTCCTGGACCAGGAGATAATGAACTTTCTCTCCCCCATGGGCCCATTGCTGGGCAAATCCTGGAAGGCGTCACGATGCCAGTTTCTTCTAGTTTAAAGTGCATGCGTTTCAGCTTTAACCCCGTGGCAGCTTGCTTCTGGTGATATTTGCCTTTCTCTTGCTTGCGGCTGTAGTTTAGTTGATCTCACTAGCTGGCATAGCTCTTTCAGGGAAAGGTTTGTAGGATGCCCTTCTAGCCAGCCACTTCTTATCACCCACCATGAAGAAAACCTGCCTCAAAGCCAGAGGATCCAGCCCAGGGGAGAATTGCTGAGGATTGTACTTGATCTTGGACTTTTCATCTTTGATATAGGATAAAGGGCACATCGGGAGTGAAAAGTTAGATTGATCATACATCCCATCATCTAGCCCAAGGGCTTTTCTTTCTCTTCCTTTGAAAAAGAAACAGATACTATATTTTTCCTCCGTAGAATATATACCATAAAAGAAAGGGAGGGGAAAATGGTGCGTCTACTGTGTTAAAATCATTAATATAGGAGGTCTAACATACAGTTACTAAATTTCCTCCCCTCCGATTCCCCTGTGAAGCAGGCCTGTCTTTGGCCCTCGTTTTTTATGTCTTTATTTAGGTTTGCAGCAACTTGAGACATGTGTGCTGCTGGGGGAGGGGAAAAGTTTCATGTTTCAAAGTCAAAAGCAAATTTGCTGCGCACAGGCCCATGGGAAAAGAAAGGGGAACTAATATCATATTTAGATCTATCTTGCTCCCAGTGTTAAGCGTTTGTCGTGTATATTGCTCAATGTTTCCCCCCTCAAAGCAACCCTAGGTTATGACTGCTTTGTTTCTGCTTTCCGCAGTGGGGATCAAGCACAGAGAACTATGGGTTCCTCCTTCAAAATTATGTATGGAGGCTTAGCCTTACACTTCAGTGGTACACATTCAGTGAAGATAGGACTAAAGGAAGGGTTTCGTGTGCTGTCCATAGGGATGCGCTCTCATCATGAGTTAGTTATAGGTAATAATTGGGATTTTTCTTTATCTGTAAATGGGCTATTGGAGATTCCCTTATTTTGTCTTTAACTTCTATAGTCATCTCCATGTTGTTTTCTTGCTTGTTTTTTTTTTGTTCTTTTTGTCTCTTCACATTTTTACTTCAGCACCCATAAAAAGGCAGGAATTGTCTGCTCATTGGCCTTGGCTGAAGCTGATAGAAAAGTACAAAGGCTATCGAGGGAGGGAAGACACAGGAGGAGGGGAGGAGGAGGAGAACGAAGGGGGGAGAGGGAGAGAAACAACATAAACAAATTTTAGTCAGGAAAATAAGAGTTATTATGAACCTTAATTCTTTGTGAAGGAGAGATGGGCCTCAGAGCATCATTAGGAACCCCTGGTCCAAGTGGTAGACTGGGGTGCATAGAAGACTCACAGAGATGTGGATTCGGAATGATTTTGCAGAGTATTTTCATTGCCTGAGAGAACTGTGCAATGAAGGAAGCCTTGATCTAACAGAGGCTTCCCAGGGTCTCCGGTCCTGGCATTCTTTCCAGATCTGTGACATTACAACTAGTGGTAGCTACATCCTGCCTGGAGGGCACTGGATCTATTTATGGATGCTTGTATTTAACTGGAAAGATCGTGCCCTGATAAATTATATAAGCTTTTAGATGAGGGCAGCTGCCAATTAAGGAAAACCTAAATCCACCGTATAGGGCACAGAGTTCTCCAGAGACACTGAAACACAGTAGTAGATACAGAAGGAACATTACAAGTTCTAGGATGGATGGATAAAGGAAAGGACAAGTCTTATAGTTATCAGCTTGATTAGTGGGTAAAAGAGTTAGCAATGGTAAGCCAAAGCGATATTTCTCACCTTCAACAACTGAGTGCATCACAAAAATGCCGAGATGAAAGAGACAATTGAGTGTAAGCTCCTAGCCAATTGATTGGTTCCAGTGTCAACTACGGCATCATTGAGAATATTTTCATAAGGGAACTGACTGAAGTCATTTCTCAATACAGTCTCAGCTTCTACAAGAAAAAAAAATGTTTATTAAGAACAAATTCAAATGTAATTTAAAGCTGTGAGGTAAAATATGGATGTTAATGTCCAAAAAGAAAGTTTAAAAAGTCACCAATTGATGAACAGAATGATATTTAAGACTGTAAGGTTTATAGACTATGGACTATTACTTAGGAACACCGTTTGTGTGTGTGTGTGTGTGTGTATGTGTGTGTGTATATATGTGTCTGTGTGTATGTGTATGTGTATGTATGTATGTATTGTGTATAGAGAGGAAACAGAAAGCTACCTACATGCACACACACAAAATCCTCTGTATGATTGAGCTATTTATAATTTTAAAAATATTTTTATTTATATTTAACTATATTACATAGTTATATTATGAATTACTATGTTAGCAATTACATAAATAATTGTAATTATCTTATCTAGAATGTGAGTGATTATTATAAAGTTTAAAAACACTTAGCCAGGCTTGGTGGCATATGTCTTTAATTCTAGCACTCGGGAGGCAGAAGAAGGTAGATCTTTGAGAGCTCAGATCTAAGCCAGCCTAACACAGGAGTCCAAGGATCGCCAGAGCTACATAGTGAGACCCTGTCTAAAATCCTGCTTCCCAAAATACTTAGTTCAATATCTGATACATATCAGACACTGAGAAATAATTTATTTTCTACTTAAAATATATGTGATATCTCCAACAAAATGCTATCAAAATAAGTAACTAGGGTCAACTAATGGCCTAAAAATAAAACGTTAGTTGCATAAACAAAAAAATATAACAAACTGAAATGAAGCAAAATGAAAAAGTCACTTAGCCCATCCAAAATAAAAAAAAAGTTGTAAGATAGAGCGAGCTATTGGAGCTATCTATCTCAGTTAGTAACCGCTTGTCTCTGGAATACCGTTACTTTTTATCACGATTCTAAAAGTGTCCAGTCTTGTAAAATGGTGCCTACCAGCTGTTTGGTTCAAAATATCCATCATGAGGTGTTTCCAAGTCTCTGTAGTATGTCAGACAAATGGCTGGTTTAGATAGGGGGCTATGCTCTCCCACCTTAGCCTGTACTGCATATCATGTTGTGTTCACTACAGCCATAATCAGAGTCAAGCAGGCATACACATTTATCTGGCATGCTCGGGGAGACGTTGGCAGTGCCCCCTAGCAGACCCAATTGCCTGCTGAGGTAACACTGACAGAGTTGCTTCTGTAGCACCCAGAGTGTTTTCTTCCTGTGTTCTCTCCCTCCCTCTAGCATCCTGCCTGCTTCAGAGGTGGCTGCTGTTTTTTACCCCCTTACTGCTTCCTCCCATGGACAAAAACATGGTCTTCCTTCAGGAGGCCCTGGGACTACATCCACTTGTGTCTAAATAGGTCACAGTGATTTCCACATGTCCATTCTCCTCTCTGTCAGCTGCTCTGTGCCCTTCCTGGGGGCTGTTGAATGAATTTGCTCTCTGATAGCTCCTGAGTCATGGTGTTAAGAATAGTGACTCAATCTATACATTTAAGCATGGTCCATGCTTAAAATCCAAATAGTTAGCCAAGCAGAACACAATAACAAGGCATGAATGATTATCAGATCTATCTGGGTATGAAAAGACACTCTGGATTTTTAATACTTCATAATTGCCACAGATAGTCTGTCTTCTACCCCCTGGGTGTGTGATCCTGTGTGTATTTGTGTGGGCGTCTGTGTGATCCTGTGTGTGTGTGTCTCTGTATATGTGTCTTTGTGAGCCTGTGTGTCTCTGTGTGATCCTGTGTGTGTGTGTGTGTGTCTCTCTGTATGTGTGTCTTTGTGAGCCTGTGTGTCTCTGTGTGATCCTGTGTGCGTGCCTGCCTGCCTGCCTGCCTGCCTGCCTGTGTGCCTAGAGAAGTAGCTCTGAATGACTGACTTACCTGGTCATAGAATCTATGAAGTTTAGTAAAGTAGTCTCTGGCCACATGTGGCTTTTGAGGACAGGAAATGTCCATAGTGAGTTTTATTCAGTAATTGACCTAGTAGATGTCTAAGACAGTACAAAGTTAAGAGTACCTTATGAAAGAGCTATCTTGAAGTAGTATTGATAGTTTGATATCTTGAATTGATTTAACATTCTTTTTACCTCTGTAATATGGCAGTCCTTCAGTTAAAAATGTCGTGTGAGCACACATTACATTCCTATCAGACAGCACGAATCCCCCTGCTCCTGTGTCTGCTCTCTTGGTGAGTAGGACCCTCACTTCCCCTGCAGATGCAGAGTTCTGGCTGCTGAGCTGTTAGGCTTCCTGTCTGGGCTTCTGTTTCTCTTGCTGGAAGACCAACGGTCCATAGCAACTTGGTCACTGTTACCGGTTTTGAATATATTTCTGGAAATAACATTGTCTTAAGAAATCTCCAGTTTCTGTATTTTTTACCCTACTTGGGAACAGGTCAAGTTTCTAAGCATTGCATCATTTCTACCTGATTAGCAGGAGTTGGTAATACTAAAATACAAACACCTAACTGTTAAAACCTTACGTATATTCTGAGCAATGTTCTTTTTGTTTGCAGCGAGATGAAAATTATAGTTTATAAAACTAAGATTAGTAAAGTTTGCTCATATTGAAAAATCATCCCTGAACACAGAAAATCATGGTATAGGATGCCATTAATAAACTGAGGTTAAAAGGTAGAAACTGGGGTTGGCCAAATGGCTTAGCTGTTGAGGGTGTATATCACTGTTCAGAGGACCCAAGTTTAATTCCAGCATCCACATCAGGAGGCTTACAGCTACTTGTAATGATACCTGTTCCAGAGACATCCAATGTGTCTGGTCTCCAAGAGTAGCTAAACCCATGCCCCCACCACATAAACACAATTAATATTTTAAAAGATTAGAAGTTCCCAACCCCCCATACTAGAGTTCTCAAAGGGAGAGATGTCCTTCTAATTGGAGAGATGCTTTCTTTTTATTATGATTATTATTTTTCTTTCTTTAAAA